TCTAGGCACAGCCAAGATACTGCGCAGAACCCTCAAGCTCCCAGGCCTCTGGTTGTCTGCTGTAACATGGTAATTAACTACCATATTTTATTATATGGTATAAAATATTATTATATGCATATGTTACCTGCAGGTGAATGAAAGTCTCACTGATATACAATAATTTTCATCTACACCGGTTCTATTTTGATTTTTCCCCAGGAAAATCTTAAACTTAAACGTAAACTTTTATATTTTGATTGGGATGAAAGGATTTCTTATAAATATGAACTTTTCACTTTCTTATGTCCTTCTCTGTTGTTCATTTTTATACCTCTGATTATGGGCTGTACAATTTTTGTGACAACTTGTTTTTATGACCTATAATTTCCCACATTTAATATGGTGCTGTACATTTCTTTGTCTAAAAAAAACTTGAGATGAACATATATATCAACAATATCTTGTTGATTTTCTTGTTGTTCTCTCTGAGTTTCTCTCTTCATCTGGATATTTTTTTATTACATCAACACTGAGCTGCTGCTCAATTACCAAACACAACAGACTGTTTTGTTACAAACATGTGGTATTTTAAATAAACTGTACATTGCCATAACAAACACCTATTCTTCTTGGTTAAAACACATTCCTACAACTAACCCCAGTAAATAAAGTAGAATATTATTGTAAAGTTCATTTACTTTAGTGAAATACATTATATATATCAATCACACACAGATGTTTTCAAGGTTTTATTTAAATTTATTGTTATGTTTTCTGCTTACAGCTAATAAAAACCCAACTTTTTAGATTAAATTAACAATGAAGATCTATTTTAAGAGAAATGATAGCAAGAATACAAGAATTTCTCTTTAGGTCGATTATCATCTGAAATGTATAGAGTCCATAAAACAGTAACAAAGTGAACAATACATGTTTCACCCTCTGAATCTCTACTGAGGCGGACAACATTTATGAGAGTGTCTTCATTTTTACAAATGTTGTTTAACAATTCAAAGCTGATAGGGAAACCTGATCAAAATTAAAATAAAAAAAAACAAACAGTCAACCCAGCCTGTTTATGATTTATGATATGGTCAGTCAGTGTGGCACCTGTTTTATTTGAGCATGTTTCTATTTCTCTTTTCCCCAAGTTCTCCTCTGCCTGTTCATCTTCCTGTTTGTTTTACACCTTTATTGACTTCATCGCCATTTCTCCAGACTCATTAACATAGACAAACTGAAACCAAAGGGGGAATAAAACAAAATAGTTGTAACAGTATAAACACATTGCAATACACATGAAAGCAAAACAAAGTGACAAATTATAATGTAGGCTAAGTTAATGAGTAAAAATCCTGAAAACCCAATAAACACTGTCACAGTGCTTATAATGTAAGCTAATTCATTTAAAATAATACATGATATTGACAACATATACAAAACAATGAAATATACACTTTAAAGTACTGATATAAATGAAACATTAATCAACATTCTGATGTGCATTAATGGCACTTGACAAAATGTAACATTTGAATAACTGACTCATTTTCATGACCAGCTGCCTCTGCCTGATGAAAAGCTGAATGAAAAAAATTGAGCAAAATATTTCTGCTTTCCATAGTTTTTGTCAAAGTTTAATTAGAAAAACAAATCAAAAAGCATGAGCCACAAACTATTTCAATAAAGTAAACGTCCCTATTATATAAGTAGTGTTGAGTTAATAAAATGTGTTTTCAATAGCACATGCTTGCATGTTTATCTACAGATGCAAAAAAAATAAAATAAAATAATAATAATAACAATATTAATAACAATAATAATAATAACAATGATAAGAGCTTTGGATGCCATTTAAGTAAAACAACAACTCAGATTTACTATGTGAACTGAAGTTAAACTCACTAAAATTGAAATGTTAGTGTTACTCAGTGAATTTAATGAAAACTGAACAATTTTGAGGCAATGAGTTTGCATATATTTTTTAAAGGAAAAATTTATTATGTTTTACAGTGTTTTTTTTTTTTTGCCATTTCTATGTTTACACCTGATTAGTGTTTTAAATTAAATCAACTTAAAGAAAAATAAGTTTACTTGAAACGGACACTACTGATTGTTTCTACCATAGCTTCACAGTTTGTCAGCGTAGTCGTCTCCAAAGTCAATCATCAGTTTCAGAGCACTCAGAATCAGAGTGTCGACGTCTGGATTCAACTGAATTTCATCACTGTAGTTCTTCACTGGGAGGATGCAGTTCATTGGGATCCCCAGGCTGGAGCTGAAGTCGCCCATCTGTTTAAAAAAATAAGTATATTCAGAGTCTAATATAGTGAGAGAGATTATCCTGTTTTGAATAAATCTTCCTACAACTCACCTTTTTCTTTAAATATGTGCTCCTGTAGACGTTTCTCAGATTTTTCTCTGTTTCCCCACAGGCTTCATCGATGTGAGTGAGAATCGCCAGCTGAGGAATTCCTGTGGATACAGAGAGTTTCTTTAGAGATTATTAGTAATTACCGTAATATATCTGGTCAGCTGCATAAAAGCAATGCTTCTCAGATGCTCAGAGCCATTTTGGAAAATCCAGAAATAAGGCATTAAGAAAAAAAGAGAAAGTAGAAAAATGTTATATACATTTTCTTTGTACTCAATTTTTACAACCAACTATAATAGCTAAAATCAAGCTGGAAAGTTTTTCTCTCTTGTGTACACAGATGCAATACTTTACTGAATAGAAATGTGATTGTAGAACTTATTTCTTACCCAGATCACTGGCTGCTTCTCTGATTTTCCTCATTTTCTGTAAAACTGACAGCTTGATTTCTGCTGCATTAGCAGAATAAACACAGACCAGAACATGAACTCTGTCACTGATGGACGGGGAAGAGATGAAACCAGGATCATCATCAGAAAGAGAAGATGCAGGATTGAACTGTGGAGATAAATGACAGAGTCATGGAAAATCTGTATGGAAATATATTGTTTTGTATAAAGCAAGGTAAATGTTAGTGTTTTAGGATCTAAGCCAATTAGAACTAGTCTTTGTAATTGTACTTATTTATACCTTATATCCATCCTTCACATGTCCCTTCAAGGCGTTTTTAATGTCGTCTGTTCTGACTCCTCTTCCATCTCCGTCCTCCAGACCCATGATGTCATTGAACACAAACGGATAAAAGTTTTCCCTGCCTTCTTTCTTGACTTTATAGGTTTGATACTGAGAGAAAAAGAGTTAGATTTTTATGTAAGCAGTATACAATAGTGAACTAGTGTAACAGATGCAAAATATAAATATTAAACTACAAGAAATCCTGCAAATCTTCTTCAAAATATATAAACTATTTTATTTTCAAACTTAAATTTGTTTTGTAAAATAAAAATCTGAACAAGGTGGTCCTGTAATCTTGGTGTATTCCAAAGGTAAACTGAGGATAAAGGGTGAATGTGTAATAAAAATCATGTCTACACTTTATACTGTAAAGTATCAGATAACTTTTCACTCAGACATGTAGAGAATCAGCTGATAAACCAAACTGGCACAAGTAAAAAGTCATGACATTAGAATATAGGAAGGAGCCTTTAATGCTGAACAAAAATAAAAACAAATTCACCTTCTTGGTGAAACTTTGATCAGAGGTTGTGTTGCTGGCCAGAGCTTCATTGGTCATTTTCCCTTGCAGGATGTTTTTGACCGAGTTGATGAAGCTGGACTTTCCTGCACCAACTGGGCCGTGCAGCAGAACTCTGATGGCTTTGACTTTTTTGTTTTGAGGTTGAAAATTATTCATGTACCGCAGAAGTTCCTGTTTGTTTCTGTTAAAATGTGAAAATAAAATTTACAATTAAAATAATTTTATTTGCCAGAACAAACATTTTGCTCCCAAGGGTCTTTATGGCTTCACATACACTTTGCTAGGACCAATTTTTAAAACAACCTCCCAATGTTTTTCAAATACTTCTGACAATCAGCACCATGACATAAGATACATATTGGTTAAAATCAGAATTAGGTAGTAAGTAGAAGGAGTGCCTGCAGCTCTACGGCTTTACTATTAAAATTGTGGAGAATAAAAAGTCTTAGTGCACATCTGTGTGAGTCTGTTGGGGAGGGTACCTCTTTGTCTTAAACCGAAATGTATTGGTCAGTTTACTTTTGTTTATTTGGCAGCTTGGTGATTTTTCTACAAATAAGCAGAGTTTGATCCTTCCCGTAGTTGTTTGGATTCTGCCGGAGCCTTTTACCATGGTGTGGTTTTGGTGGTTTATGAGCTTTTCTGTGGTTTGGCGAACAGAATAGCTGACGGATCACCCATTGGACAATCATGACTCTTCCAGAGCATCGCGCCAAGACTTAGGGAGAGTTAAACAGTTAAATCTAGTCAAAGCATTTGACTTTGTTATGGTTTTTCAGACCATAGCAATAAGCTTATTGAACTCCTTAGTCTAAAAGGACTAATCATTTCTCTATATTTTTAAGGAGCTTTTATTTTATATATTTTTTTATTCTTATTTGTTGTGTCCATGTTAACACCATTAGGTTCAAGACAGTAGCATTCAACTGTCTTGAATGCTACTCATAAACTTTATTGACTTTGTCATTTTGTTTTCTGTAATTTCTTTACAATAAAACTTGATCTAGAGATCGATACAAGAAACATATGTATTGCTGCAGTAAAATTTATTTTTATAATGTGTGTCAGTTCAGTGGAATGTCACTGTAAGATAGAGATAGAAAAATGTAAGCAATATTATTTTGTCAATTTCTTATGAAAATACCTGACAATGTGCTTAATTGTGCAAGATAATAATATCAATCATTATCTTGATATAAAAATAATCAATAGTGTAATTTTTTTTCCATATCATCCAGCAGAAGAACTCCGTCTTTTGGCTGTTTTACAGTTTTCAGGAAGTTTGTACCAGATTTGTGGTGCATAGAAGCTGAATGCCGTTTCTCCATATTTGGTTCTGGTTCTGAGGATGCAGAGTAGCCTGGCTTTGTAACTGTCTTTATGTGGCTCTGAATGTTCAGGTGGGAGTTCACTACTATATTCAGACTTCAGGCCTCATTACAATATAAATAAAATTACCTTACCTTATCGCTAGTTTCTAGCTGTACTAACTCACTCTAGAATCGTTCCTCTTTAGATCCAAAATAATAACTTCAGTTTAGTTTCTGTTCACCTGGAGGAAGTTATGGCACATGCACACATTGATTTATTCTAAGGGTCTGGTGAGTATTTGTCCAGATTGCTTATTTTGACCAGTGTTTTGATAACTCCTGTTTTTAAAATCTGAAGGAAATATAATATAATATAATATAATATAATATAATATAATATTGTGTTTTTTCTGTGGCTCTACACTCTTAGTGACCAGAGGTCGCCAAGGTGAACTAGTTCCAGGACTGAGGGCTGATTCCCTGCACACCAGCAACTCCTCAAGCCTCATTACAATGTAGACATAAGGAGCTGGTTGCCAGTCTCTCTTTGCCATGTGGTAACATCAAGCCCCCCTTGTGAACCTCTGTGTAGTTTTCTGTGTGAACTACCTGAGCCCAGTGCTACTCATTGTGTTTTTCCTCTTTTCATGGTCTCCCTGAGTATCTCCTGAGATTTATCTGTGAAATCTTTCAAACATAGTCAGACCAGAACCAGCCATAACCTTCAGTTGTACCACCTGTCTGCCGTCCAACAGACCTGCAGCAACCTCCATCAGGCTCCCCAGCCCTCTGTTAGATGGTAGGCAGAGGGCCGGGGGGCCCACTCACCCCTCCCTTCCCTCTCATCCTCTGTACGGCCCATGTTTTTACCTGATGAGGCAAAAAAGCAACAAACACATTGGTAACATGCACCTGGACAAAAACAAATTTACTCACGTTGAGGATATATCTCTCCATGGAGTTTCTAACACTGTAATGAAAAATTGAGAGCAATGTGTAAAAAAAAAAGAATCACCCAATAGAAAGAAAAAAATTCTATTTAGATTGTACTTGATTAATTACGTAAGTCCAGATATTCAAACTATCCAGTCATTCATGTAGTCATTAAGAAGCAAAAACAACAAATAAAAAATAAGTTCTACTTAAGTGGTGGGAGAGGAGGAGCTAATCACAGCCCAATATATAAAGATTAAGATTATTTGGGTCAAAACTATTCATAAATTGACCATATTTACATGAACCTTAAGGCAAAAAGGCAGCCTTGATAACTTCAGTGAGAAGACAAACTCATTTTTGTGAGTTGAAATACCCTGTGGTCTCCCCAAGTAAATCTTAATCTTAAGCCTGGCGGGCCGCCAGGTTCTACCTGCTATATTTTTGTGAACAAGGAATTGTGTGCAGTGTGTGCGTTTACATTTCAACATGCTGCCCAGTGTGTGGCTCTTTGTCTGCATTGATAAATTTTATGTATGTGTTCCCAGTTGACCGCAGCGTTAGAGGTTCAGAGGTTCAGCCCGTGGAGGAGATGTTGGTTGGTTTTATTTTTTATATATTTATTTTATTTTAGATTTTGCAGTGACACGATGCATCAAATAGCTTCATGTCAAATGCTTTGTGAACTTAGTGAGGCAGCGCTGCTGCACATGGAGATCAGAAAAACCTTTTCCTTAAAGCTTGGGCAACAAAAGCAGTTTCATGTCAATAGACATGAAATTGAAGAGCTACTAAAGCCTCATAAATGAAATCTCCTCGTTAGTCCCTCTGCATTGCAGAGGCCTGTCCAAGGCTGTATGAGGTCTTGAGCAGAATTTGACTTAGGGTTCCCTATTGCTGCTAAAAACACCAGCACCTCTAATAGCGTTTCAATACAGAAGATGGGCCTAGTTTAACTGGCCAATCTTAAAAACAGTCAGTGATAATTGCAGTTTACTCATTTGAGTTTGTGAACACACGGAGCTCAAACTTAAAGTTTAAACTCATAGCATCAGATTGTAGCTATTTGAACTCTATAAAGTAAACTTGCCAGCTCCTTAAAATCTTAGATTTAAATGTTTGCTTAAGATCTTTTAATTTAGCCACGCTGGAACCGTAAAATTATACTTAAGAACATTGATATTCTTAATAAGTAAAAGTAAAATTTCAATATCTGTGTTGAAATGTTTGCATTTATGAATACCTGGGGGGCCTTAAACCGGCCCCCCAGGTATCATGGAACCGGCCCATGATATGTGTGATCAGCTTTACATTGTGTTTTTAGATCCATTAACTGATTAATTAATTTGGAATTTAATAGAAGTGCAAAAAATGTTTATTCTTTTTTTATTTGTTTTTAAGACATATAGTTCTGAGTTAAAGTATAGTCAGCAGTGTCTTCCAGTAATGTATATATGATTACCCAGCAATATTTTACATTTTCTGTCAACTTAACATCTTTTAATACAAAAACATGGTGGGCCAAGATGGGAAGGGAAATCCTGTACCCACAAACAGTCATTACTTTCAGCCTTAATTTGTAGCTTATCTTTTAATGATGATGTAATTAAAATTACATGTAATTTTTCATTAAATCACCATTTCTTGAAAGCATGAAAGCCCTGTAGTGTGAAGCATGCTGTGGTTCTCTGGATTTGATAAATTGCTACCAGTGACGTCAGCAAAGGTTACAAAGTAACGCATTTCTGACATCGGACCTCTTTTGTCAGTGACGAATAATCTCACGCGATGCTATTTCAAATCCAGTAGTCAGACTACAGTTACTTATCGAAATTACTTTCCATTACTATCTTCTTTCGGAATTTAACTGCATTCCCTCTACACGTCTTGTCAAGGGACCGATGTCTCTATGCGACAATATCAGCAGCGACAGAAGTATTAACAATGGAGGAAGGAAGGAGATGCGCATCATGTTGGTGGAAAAACAGGAACTATTTTGGACAGGAACTAAGTCGGATTATTATAAGTGGCTTTCGGCTTTTTTTTCTTCTTCTTCTTTTTTTTAAGTCTCGCAAATTTAATGAGTCGCGGGTTGCGCCTTTTGGGCTCGTTTTTTAACGTGACGTTGTCATTTGGACTTAAAAATAAGCAGAGACTGATAAATTCCAGAATTTGTCTGTCATTAAGGTAGTTTTAGTCAAACTTGTCCATCATTTCCCGGATGATGCGTCCCGCTGTCTTTGTTAATGTTAATATATTACCTGTGAATGACGTCAAGCTATCCAGAAAAATTGCAAACATCGAGACTAATATGAACAGCGCAATAAACGTGAAATCAGCCACGAATGAACGAGTGCAACTAAACCCCATTATAATTATTAATATTAAGATAACTGTCACAATCTGTACAGCGGGACATCAGAATTGTGGAGCCACAGCAGGAGCGCTGTGCGCTGCACTCTGACACCAAACGCAGGGCCGTATGCAGAACCTGGAGGCTGGGGGAAGGGTCTAAACTCCTATTTTTAGTCTTCCAGACAATAGTGGAACACACAAAAAAAAACACAAATTACTAAAGTTTTTTTTGTACTCTTGTAACCATTTAAAAATTTCTTCTTCAGTTCAACCTAATAAGTAGAGACACATTGTTGATGTTATAAAACAACTTGCAATTAAGTTTTGGCAAAGATCAATGTAATTTTCACAGGTGGCAGAGCGTTGTTGTTAGCAGCTGCTGAAAGTAACTAAAAATGTTACTTTTAATGTAACTTAGTTCATTTCCAAATCAAGTAGTCAATAATCTAACTAAATTACTTTTTCAAGGAGTAATCAGTAAACCGATTAAAGTTACTTTTTCAAAGTAACTATGCCGTCACTAGTAGCTACAAGAGACTATTTACTCTATTTACAGTTACATTCTCTAATGTTAATTTCTAATGATTTATCTGTAAAATTGTTTCACTTCATAATGTGGGTATTTTAAAATTAAAAGTAAATTATTGCTATTAATTAATTATATTAATTAATTATTTAAACCAGAGATAGGCATCCATCTACCCATCCATCCATCCATCCATCCATCACTGGATGGATGGATGGATGGAAGTATTTCAACCAAACAATCCTGTATTACTTACGTGAACCTGGAGCACCACTCCCCATGCCTGGAATAAAACGTTGCTATGAGA